CATTGCTATGCAGAAACTGACAGCTGAGATGCCTGACAAGTTTGAAATTGCAGGTGAGAAATTGGGTCCTTTAGCAACCTCACTGGTGAATCGTTTCATAGCCCTTTCCTAGGAACTTCCCTGGCGGTTCAGTGGTTAAGACTCCACCTTTCAATGTAGGAGGTGTGGGCATCCCTGGTACCAAGATGCCATGGGGTGTGGCAAAAATTGAAAAAAAAAAGAAACCCTTTCTCAGCCTCTGGGGTTGAGGCAGCGTGGTAATGGAGCTGCTAATGATGCAGCCTCAGTCAATCTTGGCACTGTTTGCCCAGAGAGCCTCAGAATCCTTAACACGTTCACCAGGCGGTCATTGGCAATGGAGCCAATTGAACAGTTGCCAACTGTCCATTCATTAGTTTAAGACATTTGTTTATTGAGCTGTAGACACAGTGTTGAACAAATACACGGAATTTCTGGAAGACGCCAAAAGTAAACAACTATAGAAACAATTAGGATAGGGTAGAGAATCAGCAAATTATAGCTCCTGAGCTAAATCTGGTTTTTATTCAGCCTGCTAATGGAGAATGGTATTTATAAATTTAAAGTGGTTGAAAAGAAGTTAAAATAATTTTTTTTTTGGTGATATGTGAAAAGAACTGAAAGCTATGACTTGAATAGACACTTGTACATGAAGTTTCAGCATGGTTCACACCAGCCGGAAGGTGGACACAGCCCAAGTATCCATCAACAGGTGATGAATAAATAAAATGTGCTCCATTTATCCATGGAATATCACTCAGCCTTAAAAAAAGGAAGGAGGTTCAGACACCTGCTACAACATGGATGGACCTTGAGGAGTTGATGCTCAGTGAGAAAAGCCAGACACAAAAAGGAAAAATGCTGTCTGATTTCACTCACAGGAGGTCCTAGATAAGTCAGATCCACAGAGACAGGAAGCAGATGGTGGGGCAGGAGCTGGGGGAGGGGATGGGGAGTCAGTGTTTCATGAGGACAGAGTTTCAGTTTGGGAATATGAAAAAGTTCTGGAGATGATGGTAGGGATGGTTGCATGATACTGTGAATGTATTTAATGCCACTGAGCTGTGGACTTAAAAACAGTTAAGATGGTACATTTTATGTTACGCAGATTACCACAACAAAGAGAAAAAGGCAAGGTTGTGTCCCCCTCCCTTCTAGGCACCCCAGGGCAGGGCGTGCCTTCTCCCTCAGCTGCCAGGATATCTCGGAGGGCTTCCTGGAGGAAGCAGTGCTTCATCTAGGGTCATAGAAGACACATGGGGGTGGGACAGTAGCTTCTTTTGGGTCACAGCCCAAGCAAAGGCCTAGAGCTGGGACTGAACCTTGGAGAGTGAGTGTCTGGAGCTCAAACTCTGCACCCAGCTCCTCATGCCATTTGGCTCAGTGACTCTGAGCTGGTGACCTTATGTCCCTGAGGCTCAGTTTTCCCATCTGCCAGGCCAGTAACAGCCACTCCTGTTCAGGAGGAGGAGGTGAGGGTCATGTTCAAGAGGGGACCCAGTGTAGTGTCAGGCACGAGGCCAACAGGAGCTACTATTGCTGGTGTTAGGATTTCCCTCAAGGGTCATAGGGAGCCATGGTGGGTTCTTGAGAGAGGGAGGGGCAGGTAGACATGAATTTGAGGGGCCAGTGACTGCCTCCTGAAGCTGCCAGTCGCCTCTCCCCTCCACAGAGAGCGTGTCAAGGACTGAGAGCCCCTCCAAGATCATCAGACTGGACACTGTGCGGGTGATTGCGGAGAAAGTAAGCAAGGCTCTGCTGTGGGTCCCATTTCATGGATGGGGAAACTGAGGCCCAGGCCTCCAACCTGTTCTGGTCCCATGCCCCACAGATGTGATTTTCCATGGAGGCCCATTTTGGAGGCTTTTTCATGTGAAGGGCTTGAGGGGGACAGAGCCCGCCCTGTGTCATACAGTGGCAAGCCCTGAGAAAAGGCAGAGAATCAAACTGGGGACTCTGTGCTCAAGACACTGTGACCCAGGCCAACACCAAACTCCACCCCAACATGCTGGCCTGCAGATGTGAGTGGTTTGGGGGTCCACTCTGACCTCAGACTCTTCATCTCCATGTGTTTGATTCTTCACCTGTCTCCAATGCTCTGTCTCTGGGTGTGGTTTTTCTCTCCACTGTCTCTCCATCTCTCTGTCTCTGTCTCCTGGCCCTGCGCCACTGCCCCCGACGCTGGCCCGGCTCAGGACAAGCACGCGCTCCTGGACGTGACACCCTCAGCCATTGAGCGCCTCAACTACGTGCAGTACTACCCCATTGTGGTCTTCTGTATTCCTGAGAGTCGCACAGCCCTCAAAGCCCTGCGCCAGTGGCTGGCCCCCGCCTCCCGCCGCAGCTCCCGCCGCCTCTATGCCCAGGCCCAGAAGCTGAGGAAGTACAGCGACCACCTCTTCACAGGTGGAATGGGAGCCGAGGGTCTGGGGTGGGCGGTGGGCCCTGGCCTGAGTCTCCCAGCCATGCTGATGCCCCCTCCCTGTAGCCACCATCCCCCTGCAGGGTACAAGTGACTCCTGGTACCAAGAGCTCAAGGCCATCATCCAGGAGCAGCAGACGCGGCCCATCTGGACGGCTGAGGACCAGGTACCTGGGCCAGGGGCTGGGACCTGCCTGGAGTTAGGGACTAGGGGGCGTGGCCAAGATTTGACCCTGAGGCTAAGGTCTCGACCTGGTTCCTGGGATGAGATGGGGCTGGGGGTTGGGTTTGGGAACTGGGGTCTTCTCTAGGGGCTGGAGTCAAGACTTGGGGCTCAGTTCAGATTTGGAGGCTCTGTCTTGAATAAGGTCAATAGTGAGAACTCACCTTGGGGTCAAGAATTAAGCCTCAACTTGAGGTTGAGGACTGGAATTTGAAGGGTGGTGTCATGGGTCTGGGGTTTGGTCTCAGATCAAGGAAGTTTGGGGCTGGAGGCGGGAGGGGGGAGGGGGAAGGGTCTTGGCTCAGCCCGGCCATGTGCACCTGCAGCTGGACAGCTCCTCGGAAGACAACCTGGACCTCCCCCACCACGGCCTGGCGGACAGCTCCGCGGACCTGAGCTGCGACAGCCGGGTCAACAGCGACTACGAGACAGATGGCGAGGGCAGTGTCTACACAGACGGGGAAGGCTACACGGATGGCGAGGGTGGGCCCTACACAGACGTGGATGAAGGGCCCCGGGTGCCAGCCCTGGCCCGGTCCTCAGAGCCCGTGCTGGGGGACGAGCCCCGGATCCCGCAGGATCATGGGAGACCCTCCGGTCCCCAGGGAGCCCAGGTGAACAAAGCATAGGGGTGGTGCCAGCAAGGGTTTGGGGATGGGGCTGAGACGTGTAGGGAGCCTGTTACCTCCCCCCGCCCCGCACCCGCACCCCGTCCCCCTGGATGTGAAGGAACAGAAACTTCCCTGATCACATCAGTGTCTCAGACCTGCTTCTAGGGTGTTTAAACCAGAGTCACTTAAAACAAATGTTTAACCTCTACATGAGTTTCCTTATCTTAGATTCAGAGATCGATGGTAGAGAGTCTTGACATCACAAGCTCATTGTTTATTTGGTTATTGCTGCTGCTTTGTTTTGCATTTTTTGACCACGAGGCTTGAGGGACCTTAGTTCCTGGACCAAGGATTGAAGCCAGGCCCCCTGCAGTGGGAGCTCAGAGTCCTAACCACTGGACCACCAGGGAATTCCCACAAGCTTGTTGTTTAAACTGAATACACTTAGTCCAAGTCCCTCCCCATTGTAGTCAGGTATTTAACAATAACAAATATTGACTGGGCACTTATTCTCTGTGGGGCTGCTTCAGCCCCCTAGGTGCTTTTCTGTGAATTCGACAAAGTTCTCCAGACCCTCTCTAGGGTAATGTAAAAATGTACAAATCTATGATGTCGCTGGTAGAATGGTGCTGTGGGGTTGTGCAGTGCCCAACCTGTTTAACTGTCTATGGCATCCTGTTTATGAGGCAGCTCTATGCTAAGCAGTTGACGTACATGAATTCATTTATGCACTCCTGACAACACGACTCTGAGGAATGTCACAGATGGGAAATCCAACTCTCCCTTTGTTGACAGGCTGGAAGATCTCAGCCAAGGCCTTGCCCTGTCCAAATCAATTTTCTCATTTAAAATTGGGGATGGTCTCAAGACTTCTGTGGGGACGAGAAGAAAGTTTGTGGGTAGAACTGCCTGGGCAAAGGGAGGGAGGTAAGATGGGGGTGGTTACTCATCCCTATTTCTCATTCCTTGGTGGGGGTAAGTGTTAACCTTCTTTCTCCCTTTCCAAGATGGATAGCCGCCACCCACAAGGTCAACGGCGGCAAGACAGCATGCGGTAAGAGTCCCTGTACTCCACATTGGGACTGTTCAACCCCCCCCACCCCGGGGTTTTGGGGTGCTTAGAATCAAGCTGTGCCTTTGTGGTGCTACAGCCTTGTGGGTGAGATAGAGCCAGAGAGAGCCACTCCAAGCCCCATGCAGTCAAGGCCATGAGAGTAGGAATCCTCTTCCTGGGAGGATGAGGCTTCCCGAAGGAGGGGACACTGGGGTTGGGGCTTTGAAGGATGTGTAGGAGTTTGAGAGTTTTGCTCATCTCTGACTACACCCACTGTGCCTAGCCCAGAGTCAACTCAGTTAACAGTAGATAAGTCCACACCCTCCCCACCCACAACCTCTTCTATTTTCTGATCCCCAGGACATATGAGAGGGAAGCTCTGAGGAAAAAGTTTACACGAGCCAGAGATGTGGAATCCTCTGATGAAGACGGCTACGACTGGGGACCAGCCACTGACCTGTGACCCCCTTCCAGGTGGCCAGCTGGCCTGTCCTCCTATTTCCTCCCTGGAGCTGAGACTCAGACTCCCATACAGAACCTAGAAACCGGCCTCCCTCCACCTGGTATTTAATAGAGTATTTTCACAGCACTGGCTTCTAGTGATTTCCTGGGATAAGGGGCCAGAGTCAGTGTTGTCTTTCCTCTATCAACCTCACAGACCCAGATCTGAGATTTTGCCCATTCAATAAGCTTTTAATTTTTTACATCAGAAAATAATATAGAACCAAGAAACTTTTGGGACCTTGGCCAGCCGAGGAGGTTCCGCGGACGGAGTTCCAGGGCCGGCAGGGGCTAAGGCACAATGGTGGGGGTGAAGGTGGTCGATCACAGGTACACCGGCTGCTCCTGGCCTGTGAGCAGGCGGTAGGTGGCGGCGGGCATCGTCTTGATGTGGACCTGGGGGTGGAGAGGACGCAGAGGCTGTGGTTGGGCTCCTCCCACTAGACCCCGCCCACAACTGGCTCCTCCCATACGACCCCCGCCCACCACATGCCCCGCCCACCTCAATGTGGGCCTCAGTGAGCAGCTCGATGATTCGAGCGTGGGGTGTGGCCACCACACTGTGCCCATTGATCTCAATGATGCGGTGTCCCACGCGGACACCCCCACGTTCAGCAATGCCACCCCGAAGGAGGCTGCAGATCTGGGGGGAGAGGAAGGGCCATGCTGCTCACGGGGCTGGGATTGGGGTCACCCCACCCCCTTCCCCGGTTCCTGGGCTGGGAGCTCACGATGCCATCCTCCACGCAAAAGCCCAGCTGCTCACGGACATGCGGCCGGCGGATGATGGCCGTGGTGACCGGAGGGCAGTGGACGATGCTGAGGGTCACCAGCGTCTGCGACTTCACTTCCTGTGCAAGATGGGGGCTTGTTGGCTTGGCTGGGCCTTCACGGAGGGGGCGTGGGTGGGGTGCTGCCAGACTTCTAGTCAAACTGCAGCCTCCTGGGCCTCAGTTTATCCACTCATAAGATGGAAGCTGTAGATTCTACAAGACCTCTTGAGAAGTGGTTAAGAACCCAGACCAGGGCTGGGTGGCCTAATAGTGAGAGCGGTGTCACCTCTCATTTCCCTGGGCTTCAGTTATGGTCAAAAGTGAGGTTCTAGCAGTGCCCACAGGATAGGGTTACAGAGAGTAACATGGTATGGACCGTTGTCAGTCCTGCCCTTCTGGCCTGGCCAGGTCCCTCCCCATCTCTAGGCCTAGGTTGCCCTGTCTGGGCAACAGGAGTCAAGACTCAAGAACACCCTTGCTGCCTCGTGGCACAGAGTCAAGGCTGTCTGCATTCCATCCTGCTCTGGCACCAGCAGGGTGTCCTTGGGCTTCGCCTCTCTGAGCCTCGGTTTCCCTAAGTGCCTGGGAGCCACGTTGGGGGGGCAGAGTGGGGCTCACAGGCCCTCCACCCTGGAGCACTCACCCGGACGGCAGCTTGACAGGCGGCCAGGGGCAGCCCCACCAGGCTGGTCCCGTTGATGGCGGTGATGCGGTCGCCGATGCTGAGGGCACCTGAGCGCTCAGCGGGGCCCCCGTGCAGCAGGTTGGCAATGACAGCAGTGGGCAGCAAGGAGCCCCAGCCCGACTCCACCAGGGCCACACCTAGACCCTCGCCCCGGCGTTTCTCAATGAACACCTGCGGGGCCACGGGTGGCACTTGAGGGAAGCTTAGAAGAGATGGGAGGGATGGGGTGGGGGAGTTCTTCAGGTCCACTCCATGGGCTGGGGTGGGGGGCCCGAGTTGCTCACCTCCCTGCAGTTTTCGCTGTTGGAGAAGTGGTCGAGGTCCCCGTTGTGGAGGTGGCCGGGGCCCATGGCCCCCTGGCTCTGCTGGGTGCCCACCTGGCTGGGGTCGATCCCGCTTTCCCGCAGGAACTGACTGTAGGCCACGGCAAAGGCCTGGCCGATGGCCTGAGCGATGAGCTGGGCCTGTGGGGTGGGTAGCACCTCTCTGGGGGTCCCGCCTACCTCCTTCAGGTCCCCCACCAATACATTGATATTCCCAGAGCTGGCCTTTGTACCCCCAAGTGGGACTGCCCCCCAAGCCTCTGCCTGAGAATCTAGGGGAGGGGAAGGGAGACAGGCCTGGGGCGGGGAGGGCTTGTGGAGGTGGCTGCCAGCCTCACTGTCTTACAGGAAGGCTGGGGATATATGACCTGGGGCCCAGAGCAGGGCGGGGATGGAAGAATGCAAGGGTGACAGAGTGGCTGGGTGGGGCTCTGGGGGAGGGCAGGGGCCCAAGCCATGCCCCCTCACCCCTAGGACACCCAGAGCCCACTGCTCACGTCCTCTGAGTGGAAAACATGGCAGATCATCTTGTAGAGGCGGTGGCTGTGAGGCTGGGCTGCCGGCCTGTGGGCCAGGCGCCGCCGGGCCATGAGAACCAGCGTGCTGCCGATGTCAGCAATGTATGAGATGGTCTGCAGGGCGTGGTCCATCATGGCCTCCTGGCAGGAGTGGGGAGCCTGAGCCGGGTGGGCTACAGGAGCCTTGCTCGGCCCCGCCCCTTGGTGGAGCCCCCCATGCCCCAGAGACCAGGCCCAACCCTGTACCTGGGAGTCGGTCAGCAGGACTTTGACCCTCTTGGTGGAGACAAATAGGTCCACCTCCGTCATGGGCTGAGTCTCCCCATCGGGGGCCTGTGGGGAGCAGGGTGGGGCATGGAGACCCCCAGAGACCCAGACTCTGACCCACCAGGCTCAGGGAGTCTCGGAGGAGCCTGCCCGCCCGCCAGCCCAGGGCTTCACCTTGACACGGTCCATAGCCTCCTGGGCCTGCGCCATGCGTGTGCTGGGGGGTGGGTTCCGTTCAGACACCAGCTGGGTGGAGCCCAGGTACTTGGCCCCAAATATGACACCGTCTAGGAGGTCTTCGTGGTCGCAGGGGCCAGATACTGAGGGTGACAACAGAGGTGGGTCAGCCCCCTAGAACCCCTGCCAGCTTCATCCACCCCTATGGGCTCTTCCCAGAGTCCTGGATGGTCTGGAAACACAAAGTTCTGCTCTGCGGCTCAGCACCTGGAGCCACACCGGTCCACCCACTCTGGGGTCCCAGAGCCATTCCGTCAGCCAGAGCCATGGACCAGAGGCTTGACCCTCATAGATGGAGAGCCCTCCGTCCATCTGCAGCCTGGTCTGCCCAGGGAGCAAGGACTCCCGGGCTAAGCACGCAGTTTCAGGAGCAGGCTGTGGGTCTAGAACCATGGCCAGACCCAAAAACAGCTATAGTGCCCATAGATGCCTCCACCCTGTTTCTGGAATTCCAGGAATCAGGCTTGAACCAGACAGCCTCACTCTTATGTCTAAGATATGTGACATTCTAGAACCATGGTCAACTCCGCTGGATGGTTCAGGAATCCCAACCAATCTAGAAACAATTAGGTATGCCCACTGTTATAGAATTCTCTCCAATCAGCCTATGACCATAGACAGCTCAACTCCATGGTCATAGAACTGTGTAGAATACAAAGAGGGAACTGTCCACATAACTCAAACTCTCATTCTATTGAGAACCCCAGGGGCTCCTGATCCATGAGTATAGAACTCCCTGACAGGTCTCAAACCACAGAATTCTGCCAGGGATTCTAGAAACCTAGAATCAGATTTCTCCACTCTATGATTCCAGAACTTCTTAATCAAGATAGCACTGGGGGGACTTTCCCTGGTGGTCCAGTGGCTAAGACTCCATGCTCCCAATGCAGGGGGCCCTGGTTTGATCCCTGGTCAGGCAACTAGATCTCATATGCTGAAACTAAAGATCCCACATGCTGCAACGAAGACTTGGTGCAGCCAAATAAATAAACAATTTTAAAAACAGATAGCATCCAGAAGCTCTTCCAGTGGTTCTACAATCCCCACAACGATTCACAACTGCAGGTACACCTGGAAATTCTAATGATCTGAACAGTCCAGAAACAAACAACTCTGCTCATAGTTCTAGAACCCCCCAACCCAGCCCAGAACCTCAAAAAGCTTTGCCCACATGGCTCTAGAATTTCCTGAGTAACCTAGAGTCAGACAGGAGTGCCCAGTGATTCTAGAGTATTCTAACCAATAGCTATTGTTTTTTTTGAGAACCACAGATGTAGGCCCTAGGGAATGAAACCACACCCCCGTGAACTTAAAGGATAGCCAGTTCTGTCCTATTGTCCTTCATGAGCTCAGCATTCCTGGACAGCAGACAACTCTGCTCTGGGGTTTCAGAGATGAACCATCCAATATGGTAGCCACCTGGCACAGGTAGGTGTTGTGCACTTGAAATGCAGCTGGTTTGGACTGAGACATGCTCTAAGTGTAAAATGTGACACTGGATTTTGAAACTCTCATATTAAAAAAAATAATTATAAAATGTTAATTGTACATTGAAATAACATTTTAAATATGTTGGGTTAACTTTAAAGTTAATTTTTTCCAGTAGTCATGTATGGATGTGACAATTGGGCCATAAAAAAGGCTGAGCCCTGAAGAATTGATGCCTTTGAACTGTGGTGTAGGAGGACTTTTGAGAGTCTCTTGGACAGCAAGGAGATCAAACCAGTCAATCCTAAAGGAAATCAACCCTGAATATTCATTGGAAGGACTGATGCTGAAATTGAAGCTCCAATACTTTGGCCACCTGATGTCAAGAGCCGATGCATTTGAAAAGAACCCAATGCTGGGAAAGATTGAGGGCAACAGGAAAAGGGGGTGACAGAGGATGAGATGGTTGGATGGCATCACTGACTCAATGGACATGAGTTTGAGTGAACTCTGGGAGATAGTGAAGGACAGGGAAGCCTGGCATGCTGCAGTCTATGGGGTCGCAAACAGTTGGATATGACTTAGTGACTGAACAACAACAAAGTTAATTTTGAGTGGTTTTTTAATGTGGTTAACTAAGAAATTTCAAGTGATATGTGGCTGGAATTGTATTTCTGCTGTATAGCTCTAGAACTTTCTGACAACTCTAGAACTGGACAGCCCTGCCCAGTTCTAACAGAGTTCCTAATGGTCTAGAAACCAGAGATAAATTCTATTCGCTCCATGGTTCTAGACTGCTCAGTTGGGAGAACTGGACAGCTCTGCTCATCATTCCAAAACGCCCTCAGCAGCCCAGGTCACATTTAAACACAGGCAAAATGCCAGGTTCTGGAACTTGCTAGGTGAATCTAGCTCCATGACTTTAGAACCTTCTTGGAACTACAAGTTCAAACCAGCACCCTTTCCCATGATTATAGAACTTGTCCTTTGACCTAGAGCCTCAGGCAGCATGGGGGGAGAATATTCTTGAATATTCCAGGTGGCCAGAACAGTACTTCTCATGCCTTGAGGGCGGACTGGCAAACTCTTCTGCAAAAGGCCAAACAGTAATTATTTTTCCTACGGTCTCTGATGCAACTACTCAACCTGGCCTGTGGTAACAGGAAGGCTGCCACAGACAACACTTGAATGAATGGGCTTGAGTTTGTCCTGATAAAACTTCATTTTTGGATACTGAAACTTGAATTGCCTATCATTTTCACCCATCAAGAAATACTTTCAAAAAGAAAAAAAAACAAGAAAAAAAAAAAGAAATACTTTCAATTTTTTTCAACCATTTAAAAATGCAGAAGCCATCTTAGCTCACCAGACATAGCAGAAGGGCCATGGGCAGTAATGTGCCAACTCTTGCTCTAGAATCAAGTGCTACAATTTGCCAAGACTGCCCTATTCATTCCAGAACATTCTCAAGACTGTCTCTCTTCTCCCAGGTATACAGAATCTATTCAAAACCAACCTCAGGGCCTCTCTAGAAGCCACTCCTCACAGGCTAACTTTGTGCCAAATTTTGGGAACTCGGGTCGGGCTGTTCTGAAACCCCTGAGCCCCTGGGGCCAGGGTGGGTGGGACACTCACCCTCCTGGAGGGCAGGGTAGGAAGCCAGGGTCTTGGGTCTCTGGAAGAAGAGAGAAGAGGGGCAGGCCTGAGTCCTGCTGCTTGGCTCCCAACAGTGGAGGCCTGGGGGGAGGGGTGAGCTCTACCTGGACACTGGTAGGTGGCTCCTCAGGAGTGACCAGAGGTGAGGTCTCCAGCCAGGGTTCCGGGGAGCTGTTGGAGCTCCTGTCCTCATCCTGCTCAGCAGAGGCTCCCTCCGTCCACTCCTGGGGGCCAGTGTCCTCTTCTGGGTCCTCAGGGGGCTGCAACAGGCGAGGAGCAGGGTCCGGAGGAAGTTCCTGGGGACCCGGCAAGGAAGGAGGGCCCTCATCTTGTTGCAAGAGACTCAGCAAGTCTTCCCGATCAGCCTCAGCAGACAAGAGCCCATGGGCATCAACCATGTCCTGCGGGGCCAGGCCATGGCCGGTGGCAATGTGCAGGGGGCATGGGGATCCATCTGGGGACAGGCCCACCAGGTCACCTGGCAGAGCTTCAAACTGTTGCACCAGATCCTGAATATTTAGCCCATCAAGTTCCATCTGACTCAGGCTGCCAGAGCCTCCTGGTGTGGGGTCCCACTGGCAATCACGGGTGGGGTCCTGAGGGGGCAAAAGTGTGTCCCTGGGCTCTTCCAAGTCCATGGCTGGAGGTCCTGGAGGGGGTTGGGAGGCTGTCAGGAATTCCATGCCTGGACCCTGGGCTCAAGCCAGCATCTGAAAGGGAGATTCAAAAATTAGATTTTCTGGGCTTCCCTAGTGGCTCAGTGGTAAAGAATCAGCCTGTCAATGCAGGAGACATGGGTTTCGATCCCCGATCTGGGAAGACCCCACATGCCATGGAGCAACTGAGCCCAGTGGACCACAGCTATCGAGTCTGTGCTCTACAGCCCGGGAGCCACAGCTGCTGGAGCCCCTGCGTTGTACAGCCCAAGCCACCACAGTGAGAAGCCCATGCACCTCGGCTCAAGAGCAGCCCCTACTCTACACCACTAGAGAAAAGTCCATGCAGTAATGAAGACCCACAGCACAATCAAAAAAAAAAAAAAAAGATGAGATTTTTCAGCTGCCAACTTGGTACTAGGATCTAGCCTGGTAAATGTTCATAAAGAACACATAATTTAATCCCCACCATACCCTGCAAGGAAGATTCTGCCATGATCCTCATTTTACAGGGGAGGAAGTCGAGGTGTAGAATCAGCAGTTGTAAGGCAGTGGCTTCCAGGGCTCCAAACCCCAGGGGATTCTCCTGCCCATCTCCCCAGACCTTCCCCTCCCACCCGTGAAGCCCGTACACCCCAGCCCTGATTCTTCCAAGTGTTCCTTCCCCGGGATGTGCGACCGAGGCTGGAGACACACTTTGACTACACAGACCCGACAGGTGTAGGTCCCCGATACCCAGGAATTCAAGACCTCAGTCCAAGACTTCAGATCCAGAACTTCAGACTAAATACTAGAGTTCCAAGATGCCAGAAAGCAGACTCACCTCAAAACCTCCAATGCCACATTCAAGATCAACCCCAGACTCAGACCTGGACCTCAGACCCAGCCTGAAGACACAAACTTGAGCCTAAAGCTGAGAATTAAGACCCGAGTCCTCTCGAGGACCCCAGATTCAAGACTTCAGACCCGTGACCTCAGATGCTGGCTCCAGACCTCTCTATGCCCCGCCGGGACACTCACTTACCAAACCGAGGTGGTCTCAACCCGCGGGCCGCCGAGACCCCGCAGCTGAGCTGGTACGGTGCTTTCAGTGACCGCCGCCTGCCAATTCCTGCCAATTCCGCCGCCGCTTCCAGATCCGCGCAGCGTTCCTGGATCACTGGGCATGCGCATTCCCGCCGGGCTTGCTGGGAAATGTAGTTCTTGCAGACAACCTCGCCCGCGCAGGGGCTCCAGGTATGTGGACCACGAGTTCGAATTCCAAGCCTTCATTTACTCGGCGTGAAAGCTCCGACAGGCTTCTGAGCCTATTTCCTCAACTGCAAAGTGCGGTTAAAAATCACTGCTTGACTGCTACCTCTTTGGTCATTATTCTAAGGGATAGCAGATGGGAAGAAATGGGACTGGAAAAATACTAAAGGCTCATGAGAGATAGACTTTCTGACTGCAGGGGTGCCAAAAGCGGCGCGGGGAACAGATTGCACACAGGGTTTCGGCTTGGCGGAATGGCTCGGTTATGCTTAACTTTATTTCCCTGAGCTTCCGGTTTCCTCAGTTGTAAACTGGGGATAATAGTGCATGCGTGCGTGCTCAATTGCTGAGTTGTGTTTGACTGCGACCCTATGGACTGTAGCTGGCCAGGCTCCTCTGTTCATGGGATTTCCCAGGCGAGAATACTGGAATGGGTTGCCATTTCCTTCTCTAGGGATCTTCCTGACGAACCCGCGTCTCCTGGGTTGGCAGGCCGGTTCTTCACGGCTGAGCCACCAGGGAAGCCCACACCTACCTCCTAATTAAACGAAATCGAGCTGGGTGCAGATTTAGCAGTAGGGCTGGAAAATATCGAGTCTAGTAAGTGTTAGCTTTTATTACTTCTAGGTTTTCAGAAATTTAGCTACTGAGAAGAACCCAGTGTCAGAACCTGGAGAAATATTTCACTTTGAAAAGTTGACTTAAACGTACTTATTTTTCTCTTGTGTAGACCTGCTTTGTGGGAAATTAATTGGCTTAGGATAGCCAAACCCTTACTTATCACCTGTTGCATGTGATGGCTTTCGAAAGTTTGAGGGCCATTGGCTACATGGGTATAACTTAGAGGGTGGTAGGACTTTTTAATGTAATGCTAACAAGTTTTCTCCCCCCTGATCCCCGAGCCTTTATTTTAGTTTTTAAACGCCATATGTAATCTGTGGTCCACAAAATTGGGAGCGAGAGACCTGAAACAGACCTGCTATAAATTTAACGGATACATAATCCCCTATCCAAGGCTTCCCAGGTGGCGCTAGTAGTAGAGAATCCGCTTGCCAATGCAAGAGACCCAGGTTTGATCCCTGGGTTCAGGAAGGTGCCCTAGAGAAGGAAATACTCCGGTATTCGTGCTTGGAAAAAAAATCCCATTTTTTTCCACTCCCAGACAGAGGAGCCTGGTGGACTACAGTCCCTGGGGTCGCAGAGTTGGACCTGATTGAGCACACACAGTTGCTTGTTGAATACAATCAGGAATGTATAAAAGTGTGATAAGTAAGTGATATAACTGAAGGGCAAGAGGTCAATGAAACATCCTTTGAAAGTCACTTCTTCCCCTAACTAGGGATAGTTATAAAAGTTTAGAGAAATCACAATAAAGATATGCCTACCGCTGGAATACTACATTTCCCATAAACCTCTAGGGGCCTACAACCCCCAATCCCACGGCCGCTGACGTCTTCCGGAAACGTGCACGTGCACGCTGCCAGCATACGTCATGGCGGCTAGACTCGTCTTCGGTGCTACCCGGAGCTGGGCCGGCTGGCGGGCCTGGGAGCTTCCGGACACCGCGGCTTCTGTAAGACTACATGTACGCGATTATGCCAAGAGACCGGGTAAGCTGGCTTAAGAGAGACCAAAATGGGAATAGTGGGGACATTAGGAAGTTCGTAGTGCGCAAGCGCTAGTCGGGAGACGCATCCTAGTATGAGCGCGCAAGCGTAGAGGCATCTAAGCGCGGCTGTTTGCGCAGGCGCAGTGTGAGGTAACTAGGGTGCGGTTGGACTCTGTGCGCAGGCACAAGGTTGCTGTGTGTGTGTGTGTGTGTGTGTGTGTGTGTGTGTGTGTGTTTTTGCGGGTGGATGGGGGAGTGGTTAGGGGAAGAACTTGAACTTGGGTCCCTAGCACGTTTCTGCGTCCGCAGGAGTCACCTTTTTAGCAAATTACCACCAGAAATTCGGGCCATATGGGCATCTAAGTATTAAAGCCAAAACAAGATTGAAATTTTTTCTGGATGCAGCGTTGCCTGATCTCCCTTGTTGAAAGGAGAGACTTGGCAAACGAAACATGAGGTTTTAAAGACACACGGCAGCCGGCCGAGATTTTCTTCGTGAGATAAACAGAAGGAATGAAAATGGAATTGAAAAGGAATGAACTTAGTTCCTGTGAATAGCAATGTCATTTAATGCAGTGCCCGTGTCCCACTTAAAATCGTTTTGAGAACAGTACACAGGGTACAGCTGGAGCAGAAAGGGAAGGCTGGCCTCCCGAGGGTGTAGCTGGGCTGACATAACTCTCCTCCACCGCAGTTTTTAAGGGCGGCAAAAGCGGCAAAGGTGCTGCGGTGGGAGAGACCCTGAAAGACCCCGAGGTGTGTACAGACCCCGTCCGGCTCACAACGCACGCCATGGGTGTCAGCATCTACAAGGAGGGCCAGGATGTGGTCCTGAAGCCGGATTCCGAGTACCCCGAGTGGTGAGTGGGTCAGGACTGAGTGAGGAGGGCCTGGTGGATCCCATCTGAGATTTCAGGAGGGCTTCCCTAAGGAGTTGGTGGGTAAGTTAAGACCTGAGTGGATGGCCAGAGCTTCAGAGGCAGGTGGGAACAGCCAGTGCAAAGGCCCTGTGCACAACTGCACCTGGCTTGTACGTGGATAGCAAGGGGCAAGGTGGAGGGTAGGGGAAGACAGGGAGGAACCTGGTGGAGCCTGGCTGTCGGGGGCTGCAGGGGTAATTTTGCTCTTGGCTCTGTGAGCAGTGGCAGGATGCGGAAGCCATCACCATGTGCCCATCCTTTAAACTGGGTAAGGTTTAGAAAGGTTGAGTGAGGGGGTGGGGAGGCCTTACAGGCGGGCAGCGCAGCACAGACGATGGCCAGGAGGCAGAAGGCTTGGCGTGTGCCTACTTCAGATCCCAGGGCCACTGGGATGGGGGCGCCCCCTGTTCCACAGTCCAGGAGCTGGCTCATGGTGGGGAGGGACTGCCCTGAGGTCAGCTGGCCACCAAGGGACCTGGTACTGCTGTAGCCTGTGCCCAAGGTGTCTGGGATGGGATAGGGGAGCCATGGGGAAGGGGGCTGCTCTGTAACCCCGACTCCCGCCCACTTCCCATCAGGCTGTTCCAGATGAATGTGGGCCCCCCCAAGAAGCTGGAGGAGCTGGACCCGGAGACCCGGGAGTACTGGCGGCTGCTCCGGAAACACAACATCTGGCGCCACAACCGGCTGAGCAAGAACCAGAAGTTCTAGCGGGGGAGGGCCAGAGCTCTCTAAAAGGACACTGACCCTCCAAGGACCTGGAGGAGACAGGACAGATTGCGAGGTGGGGGGGAGTTGGTACCTCCCCCAGCCTGTCCCCAGGACTTTTTATTTTCTGGAGAAGCAGACGTTTCTGAGAACAGAGGAGAATCCCCCCTCACTGGGGTTGCCCCCAGAGTGAGACTGAATCAGGGCCCTGGGAGCTAATAAAGCCTTCTGGGGGCAATTATTGGCAGGCCCCGGATGTCGCTGAGTGTCCTGTGATATTGGGGTCAGGAGGGACTTGGGACAGGCAGTGGGGGGCTGAGCACTTCAGGCCCAGTGGTTCCATGGCTCAGCCTTCACCCTCAGTGATTGCTGGGGATCTGCAGGTCCATCTTCACCTCCCAGCCTCCTCGAGCTTCTCACCCTGATTCCTGGAATTCCTAGCATTGGCTAAGAGGCCCCAACCTCTGTCCTCTAGGGGGAGATTTTTTGAGCCAAGCTTCCCTGGATTGCAGTGGACTTGGACTCATACCTGAGCCACATCATCCAGAGCAGAAGAGTCTTCGTGAACTTCAGGAATGGAAATGTCCAGGGCTAGGCATGGCTGGATCCAGGTGCTTCAGCATTCAGCTATGAGGTGCTCTCCATCTCTGGGTCCTTTTAACTCCAGTGGGTAGGTCCTTTTACCCCTTGGGTAGGGGTTTCTCCAGGACTTCTGACTGACACCCCATACCCAGTTCAGCAAACCCAGCCAGAGGGAAGGGACTTCTCTTTCTTTTCTGCCAGGGTCACAGGGGTTATCTTTGTTGGCCAGTCACTTGAGCCAAGGAACCTGGGCCTACCCACCATCCTTCTGTCCAACCCACTGGTGCCCAGCAGCTTAGAGGAGGCTGAAGGACACACACACACACGGTGCCAGGGCCCACTCCCAGTGGTACAGCCATGCCCCCTCCTGGGTAGATATCTGGGTTTGGGGCGGCATACGCTGCTTAGGGGGCTGGACCAGGGCTCTCTCACCCTCCAAACTCCTCCAGAGCTGGGCGGGTGGGGCAGGGCAGGGTCCCTGAGGCTAATTCTGTCTGGTCCCAGGAAAACGAGAGCCCTCATCCTCTTAGAAGGACTCTGCCAAGCGGATTACCGCTCACCTGCCCTCCCTGCAGCCCGCGCTGAGCAGGCGCATCATCCCAACCATCCCGCGCAGGTCCCCACAGCTGAGTGAAAACCCAAGTTGTAATGGCCACAGGCTTCCTGGCTGCTCCTCCAACACGGCAGGCGTGGTGCTCTCCTGGGCCCTCTGCCTGAGTCTCTCCCTGCCCCCACCATGTCCTCAAGGCTCCCTCTTTACCTCCAGACCTTTGCTGTGATGGTGCTGACCACCATATTAAACTGCCGCCCTACCACATGCTCCTGATCGCCCCTCCTGGCTTTATTTTTCTCCCAAGCACTTAACCACCAGCAGGTGTTTCATGTTTTACTTATTTATTTTTAAAATTAGGGCTCTGGTCTCTCTCCCACTGGAGTGGCAGCTCCAGGAGGGCAGGGGTTTTTCTCTGCTTTGTTCACTGTTGTGTCCTCGTAAGTTGGAACGGGTGGATGAGTGATTGGGATGGTTGGCCTGGCTGCTGCAACGTAAACAGCACAGGGGCCCTAGGGTTCACGTGGAGGTGCCCTCTCAGATGGGAGGTGAGCAGGCCAGCTGACAGCGGCCTGGGAGCGACATTTCTGGAATATCCTAGCACCTGTGGTCACTTCCTGGCCAGAGCCTGGAGCGAGTGGGGTGCTGCCACGTCCCCCCCACCATACACTCTCCTATCCTGACTCATCCCATCCCACAGGGAGGTGCCCTGACATGTGGCACTTGGGCCACACACCCCCAGCCCAGCCAGCCTCCTTGTCCTGGAGTCCAGCTGAACCCCGGCAGGGGTGGCCATCATGCCTTCATGAACCCTGGGGTAGGACACAGCAAATGCTTGTCTTGCTACCAGGGCCCCAGCCCCGCCTCATTGGGCTGGGAGATGTGATGGGGGCTGTGGTTGATGGGGAGACAAGCCACACTCATAACGGGGGAGCAAAGATCGACTGTTCACCCAGTGTCAGCTGCTTCTACCTGGGAGCGCCCTGTTAGTGCCCAGCCTGGGTCCTAGGTGCCTCGGGTGATGGAGTCAGGCAATGAGCTTAAAAAGAGCTCCACCCCCTACTGGCTCTGTGGCCTCAGGAAACTGGCTGTCCCTCTCTCGGCCTGTTTCTTCCCCTGTAACATGGGGCTGATGGCCATGCCACCTTGGGGTAAAGTGATGGTCATGCTGGAAGCACACAGTCAAAGGGGGCAGTTGAATGTGAACTGCTGCAGCTGTTACTTGTTATCTCTCAGGGCGGCCCTACTGTTAAAAAATCAGGAGCAGGCAGAAGGATTTAGAATCATCAACTCAGAATTAACATCCCCGTGGCTCCTGGTTACAGCCTTAGAGTCTTAAGAACCTCAGAATCCACCCCCACACACACCCACTTGACTGATGGGGAGACTGAAGCCCCAAGAGGGCACCAGCTCCCTGAAGACCATGCCAGGGACCCCCACCCTGGCTGGGCACCTCTGGCTGCCACCTTTAAGTCAGGTGCCAGTTAACCCTGAAGGCAGGGTAAGTAGGTGGTGGTGGGTGGGGGACTTGGTGTGGGTGGCCATGGACAGGCTGAGCAGGAGGGGCTGGGCGGGCACCAGGCTCAGGCTGACGGCCAGGCCCTGTCCAGAGCCTGCACGTGCTCCTTGGCCAGCAGCCGCAGGGAACCTTCTTCCAGGGTGAAGCCGTCCATGAAGGCTGGACTGAAGGCGTGGGGCCCAAAGGAGCCCTGCAACCCTGGGCCCGAGCCCAGGAGGCGTGGGAGGGCTGGCACAGCTGGGGGCCCTGGGCCCAGCCAGGGCTCCAAGGACAGTGGCATGGTGGGAGGGCGGGCAAAGGGCAGTGCTGGGGCCTCGGGGAGTCTTGGGGCTGCCACAGCCCCGGAGCCTGACTCCAGACGCTCCTGGCGGCGCCACTTGGCCCGGCGGTTCTGGAACCACACCTGGAGGCGGCAAGAGAGGTGCTCCCATGTCAGAGGTGGCTGGCGGGCGCCAGGCAAGGCCGCTCTCCCCCCTGGGCCTCCCAGCCCCTCAGCGTTCTGCCTGCTCTCTGACCTGATTCCTACCCCTTGCGATGCCAACATTACCTACCCCGAGGAGAAGGCTGTTCTGAGAGCAAGATCTTTGCCTCTTGGCCCCCATTAGATCATTACTGAAGCCTTCTGAGTCCAGGTTCTCCTTGCCTTTCCCTTTGTCCAGGCCCCCTCAGGCTCCTCAACCTCCTGCCTGGTCAAACTGGGGTCTCAGCATGAAGTTCCAGCCACTGAGTTTGGCATTTGAGGGGCTTCACTAGCTTTCTCTGCCTCCCCTTCCACCCACCTCAACACGGAGCTCAGTAGAAATGCCTCCAATTTAACTCCTGCACACCTTTGCACTATTGTTCTGGATGCCTAGAAAAATGCCCTTTCTCCTTGCTAGCTGACACACTCCTACTCAAACGTCAAGGCCCCAGTCGCACGTCCCCTCCTCTGGGAAGCCTTGCCTTGCCCTGGGAGGGTCCGTCTCTGGCACCGGTTGCCTCCGGGCGGTTGGGGGCAACCCTCACCTGCACGCGCACCTCGGGCAGGTGCACCTTGGCTGCCAGCTCCTCACGGCTGTAAACATCCGGGTAGTGGGAGGCCTCGAACGCCCGCTCCAGCTGGTGCAGCTGGTAGGTGGTAAAGGTTGTGCGGTTCCTCCGGTGCTTCTTCTTGGGGGCCTCCTCTCCAGGCCCTGGCCCCCCACCCTCCGCCGCTGGCCCCTCACCTGGGCTCAGGAACATGGCTCCTCTTTGCCCCCACCTGGCGGGAAGGCAGCAGGACAGATGGCGGTGAGACAGGTGAGGGACCCCCCCGCCCCTTGCCGGATCTGGGGTCAGATATGAAGGGGCTTCTCCCTCCACTGGGTCCGGCGTTCCCTCTGCCTCTCTGTGCATCTCAGGTGACCTCCCTCTGACTCCACTTCCTCCTCTCCGATGATTTTTCTGTCTCTGCCTCTATTTCTCTTTCCCTCTGCAGCTCCCTGTCTCTTTTGTCTCTGTGTCTGTGACCCCCAGGAAGGCAGGATCTGGGCCACTGCCCTAAGGAACACTTCCTTAGCCCCCAGCTCTCCGCCCTGGCGGGCTGTCTGTGCTCCCACCTCCCACCCGTGCCCACCTGTGCCCACCTCCCAGTGCTCACTGCTCCCGGCAGCCCCTCCAGCAGCCCCCGTGGGCCCAGTGCTGTCTGCTGCTGGCCTGGCCTATCCAGACCCGAGGGGGTTGGGGTCGGGCGGGGAGGAGGATTAGCGAGGTGATTAATTGAGGGGGGCCCCTCCCGCCCAGGCGCTGGTTGCTCCGAGCCACAGAGGGAGTGCCGGGCAGCAGGACACCGTTACCTTGCTCTAGAACGTAAACAAGAGCCTCCCCCTCCCCGGTCCTCAGTTTCCCAGCTGTAAAGTGTCAGCAACAGGACTTCCTACCCTGTGGGACTCTCACAGGGACTCAGTGAGCTGATGAGAGAGTACATTGATGGAAAGATATACAGTGATTGGCCAACGGTGAGAGCTTAGTGAGCACTCACTAAATCAGCCACTGTCGACTACTTTTGTTATCATCTGGAGTGAGAAAAGAACCTCTCAGATTCACAGATGTCAAGGGGAGTTGGGGAAGCTGAAGTCCCCAGAGGTGAAGGTAATTCCAGTCGGTTCCCCTGGGCACTATCCAGGGCAAAGGAGTATGGGGCATTTTAGCTGTGTTTTGAAGTATGAATAGAAGCTCACTTTTCAGTCGCTCAATAAACATTTAAGCGCAATAAACATTTGCGCTTACTGAATACCAGGTACTGTTCACAGCAGGGAACAAACCACAGACACACTTCTTGGAGCTGGCATCCTGCTGGGGGAGACTGATAATCCATAACTAAGTAAGTAAAATACAGCATGTCAGGGGGTAGAAACCTGGTAGGAAAACTCAAGCAGGGGAGGGAGGGTTGTTCTTTTAAGGAAGGTGAGTAGAATGGGAGATGGAGTGTAAGGGCGTAAATTCTGGACAAGACTGGGTGTGAACAGGGTACTGGGGAGCCATGGAAGGTTGTGGAGCATGAGAGGGGCATAGGTGGCATTTTGGATGAGTGTTATGGGCAAGATGGGAGGCCAGGAGAAGACTAGAGGCCTGGTCAGGGCTAGATTTGGGGGGAGGGTGACAGGAGAGTAATTCTGGGGGGGAAGGGGGACTTCCCTGGTGTCCAGTGGCTAAGACTCTGCACCCCCAATGCAGGGGGCCTGGGTTGGGGTCCTGGTCAGGGAACTAGATCCCACATGTCTCAACTAAGACCTGGTGCAGCCAAGTAAATAAAAATATTTTTAAAAGTTCTGGGGAGAGAGTCTGAGGACGGAAGAAGACCGGTGAACCCAGCCCCTGTCTGGGGACAAGTGGGTGATGGGACTGTCCCTCCGGCGGTGGCCTGAGCACCAAGGAGGACCTTGGTGATACCCTGAGACTGGATGGTCAACCCCCTGCCCAATCTAAGGAGCTTGGGGGTGCTCTGGCAAGGGGTGCCCTGAAAACAGGAGGGGCCCTGGGGGTGACGGGGGGCAAAAGGAGGCCCAGAAGGAGGACGGGAGGGATGGAGGGAGGGAGGTTGTCTCAGTGGAGTGAGGCTGGAGACCCAGGCCCGTGGATGGACTAGAGAGTGAGTGCAAGAGGAAGCAGAGCTAAGTGCTTCCAGAATGCTGGCTTTGTAGGGGGACGACACACACAGAGATGGGGAGGCGGCGCTCACACGTGCATGTGCACAGTTGGACACTCACAGCACCGAGGTGCAGGCCCTGGAGTGCTGGCAGGGCCGAATGGCCTCAGAGGAGGAGGGGGTCTGGGTGGGCAGAGGGCTTAGCACCTAAGGGGTCAGCCGGACAGGGAGGCTCCAGGAGCTCTGAGTCCGGCTAGAGGGGTGGTGAGTGAGGCCCCTCCAGGCCTCAGTGGCCCTGTCTTTGAGATGGGCTGGGGCATTGTGGTAGGGGGAGCCAAGCCTCATGAGAGGGGGAGTGGGGGTGGGGGGAGGTAATCCCCCTAATTGCTTCATCACTTTAAAACGCTAATGAGCTGCTCTGTTCTCAGCCCCCAATTAGCTAATTGGCCCCAGTGGGTTAAGAGGTGCAGGAGGGATCGGGGTGTTAGGGGCGGGGCGGGGGGGGCTGGGCGCTGCTTTGGAGACTTAGCCAGCAGCTGCCGGCCCAGACGCTGTGTCAGCTTAGAGGGCTGGATTAGGGGTGGGCAGGGTGGTGTGGGGCCACAGTGACAGGCGGCCCTCTCCAGCTGGATTGGGCCAGGG